TGTATTGAACATTGCGCGAGCGTAATGTATTGAACATTAGCATCATTTATTACATTAGCGCCTTTAACGTATAAATTGTGCATTCTAGATTTGATTAAGCTTTCACCTAGCAGCGTGTTGGCGAGCTCACTTCAACTTTTACCGTAAATATTGATAGCACCAAAATTCTTGTATCGCATGTTTCTTCAAAGTTGTGCATTTTTATTGCATGTGTATGTTTCTTCAAAATCACGTTTTTTTCGTGATGCGCGACTGCTTGTAATGATCTTTTTAATCTCCTTATATTCCACGCGCTAATATTAAACGCATAATTGCATAGGTATTTATGTTTCCATTAATACACATTTACCAAACCCGAACGCAAGCTACGAGCCAAGCACCGATATTCCGCCCCTACATAACTGGACATAAGTGAATCAAGTCGCCTGCCTTGATCTCCTTTCTTAACCAAGTCCACGAATGTCCGCAGGAAAATTTCCCGGGTTCTTGTCGCAAATTCGGGTTGATGTCCCTAAAGAACTGGTCTAGAAACGATTTTATTGCCATTGGCAACGTTTCTCTTTGGGGGTAATTAGATTACCGACGAGTTACCATAATACCAGCCCTCGGGACTCGGACTCATCGATTACTGTGTGGTGTAAACATGGGGACATGTTAGTATGTCCCGGAATATGCGGCATGACGTCCATAAACATGACCACTTTAGTGAATGCTTCTTGTGTAAGTGAATAGACTTATTTATCGTTTATGCCTGGAAATAAAGGATGAGAGGAACCGGCATGCAAAGTAAAGAAGATTGTACCTGATACTCCACTTGTAAGCTAGACCCACTGCAGTATAATATACATTATTCAGCACACACAGAATTGATGGATGTGCTACGAATCTCCAATTACCCGCTTCAATAAGGAAATATCCGTATTATAGAGAGAATAAATACAAGTAAACTGCAATGAAGAAAAAAAGTTTAAAGGACTACTCAAACGTTATATCTGAATGATATCCTCTCCTACATGCTTTTCATGTGCAAGCACTTGCCCTGTATTTGGTGAACTGCAACTGGAAAGTCAGAAAAGGGACTGAACAACATGAGCAAATTTCAACAGGTACAAACAGAGATAATTTCTCCTGCCAAACATTCGTTGCGTCGTCGGGACCACATCAGAGAAAACAAAAGGATGAAAGGATACAAACAGTGGCGTAAAAATCCGCCCCCATTTCGCTGGGATCAGAAAAGACTTCCATTTGGTCTGCGATGAATTTGTTATAACGCGACACTAAACTTGGCTCGCTCATCGGTCTCGAAGGCTGGCCAACTATGCGTCTTTAGTCTGCTGGTGCCGTTGCTGGGCCACCAGCTGGCTGAGCCCTACAGTCTGCTAGTGCCGTTGCTGGGCCGCCAGCTGGCTGAGTCCATCATTCTGCTGGTGCCGTTGCTGGGTCGCCAGCTGGCTGAGTCCATCAGTCTGCTGGTGCCGTTGCTGGGCCGCCAGCTGGCTGAGCCCTACAGTCTGCTAGTGCCGTTGCTGGGCCGCCAGCTGGCTGAGCCCTATAGTCTGCTGGTGCCGTTGCTGGGCCGCCAGCTGGCTGAGCCCACAAGTCTGCTGGTGCCGTTGCTGGGCCGCCAGCTGGCTGGGCCCATCAGTCAGCTGGCACCGGATCAGTAATTGCCTCTTAATTCCATTACGCTCGTCTTATTTCAGCTGGAATTACCGCGCTAAGTTCCAGATCTTCTCTAGACAGCGGAACCCCTCAACCGGGGTCCGTTTGACTGAACGTCATGTCTACTTTTATTCAATTCTGTCTACTTGGAGCCCGTCTATTTCTGTTTAGATCATGCCCTGTCTACTTTTGTTGAATTCTGTCTACTTAGAGCCCGTCTATTTCTGTTTGGATAATGCCCTGTCTGTCTACTTTTGTTGACTTTACCTGAAGTCTCGTAGACTGCAACACAAGTCAAGTTCGTCTCTTTGCATTAGCTTCTGGCGCAGTTTTTAAAAAGGCAAACTCATTCAAGTATTCGAGCAATAAACCGGTGAATCAAATAGCGAATATAAATTTCACGTCGTATGCACGAACTCAAGTTCTTTCTGCTTATTTAATAGTTCTTCAGCTTATTTCTTCTCAAAATTCATTTCCGTCTCACTACTCATTTCTTCTCTCGAACTCAATTCCTTTTCACGAACTCAATTTCTTCTCACGAACTCACTTCCTTTTCACGAACTCAATTCCTTCGCATGAACTTAATTCCTTCCCTGTACTCCCAGTACTCATTTATTCCCACAATTCAGTACCGTCTAATTACTCCTTTCTTCTAAAAAACTCAATTATTTGTGTTGATGAGTAATTGTGGACACTTAAAGTTCTGAGAGTCTAAAACTTCAGACTTTAGACATTCAGTGCTTCTGAAAAAATTTATTTTAGAAGTTGCTAAAATGCATTGTAAATTATCCAGCCTTTCCATCAGTTATCTTCCAGCTTCAAATGCAATTATATTGTGAAGAAACCTAAAAATTATTTAATGTAAGAATCCTGGTATGATTTCATATCTAAAAGTCCTTTATTTGTGCTTAATATGTCGTTACTTAAAACATTCTGGATCGCAATGAGGCTTCAGTTCCCGTGTGTGTGCTATAACATTTTGCTTATTTCGCGTGAATGCCAGTATTTGAAAACATTGTAACTTCCTCATCAATTTCGTATCTCTGACATAATTAGTAAGTCAATTCCCATGTGCGCTTCTAATTCGCGTGTTCTTCAGAGACTTGCTTGTTGCATCACAGTTGCAAAGACCCATCGTCTTAATGACCTCGTCTGGGGAAGGGGGCAAAGGTCCCTCTTTTGCGTCACCTTATTTGCGTCTTGCGTCTCTCCTAGGAACTCTCGTCCTGAAGAGATCGGAGGGCGACGATAAAGCGACGCATCTTTGTTCAGCAGCAGCAATTATCTGATTCTAGTTAAGCTTCCAATAGCCTAATTGATAGAACGAGCGCTCTTAATTACGGCATTGCTGCTCTTATTAAATTAACAGCCTAGATTACGCTGCAATTCTATTTAGTTACCCAAGCAATTTGCTAAAGTAATTCCCTTTAAATTACAGCACAGGATACACTATTCTCGTTTGTCTTACGCACGAATTTTATTCAACTGGAGTAAGTCTAATCAATGCTATTAATGGACAGAACTGAGGCGTTAATGCCGGCGGCGTCGAACTGCTCAGCGACGTGAAGCATATTAGACACTCTCTCACAATGGCTCTCTTGAGGCACTTATCTTTTCAATAACGCGTCAATTCAAGTCAATCTTTTCAATGATTTAGTACACTACCACTCCAGAGCGTGCCTACAGTGTGCTCTAATCTCGACACACTCTCAGTACAATATACTATTCCAGAGCTCGCCTACCTCGTATCTTGTATCTGTACCAAGACATGCGTGTCCAACTCTGCCGCGTGCACAACTCTGCCGCGTGCACAACTCTGCCGCGTGCACAACTCTGCCACGTGCACAACTCTGCCGTGTGCACAACTCTGCTGCGTGCACAACTCTGCCGTGTGCACAACTCTGCTGCGTGCACATCTCTGCCGCTGTCTCTTATACACATCTAGATGTGTATAAGAGACAGGTGCACAACTCTGCCACGTGCACAACTCTGCCGTGTGCACAACTCTGCTGCGTGCACAACTCTGCCGTGTGCACAACTCTGCTGCGTGCACATCTCTGCCGCGTGCACATCTCTGCCGCGTGCACAACTCTGCTGCGTGCACAACTCTGCCGCGTGCACAACTCTGCTGCGTGCACAACTCTGCCGCGTGCACATCTCTGCCGCGTGCACAACTCTGCCGCGTGCACAACTCTGCTGCGTGCACATCTCTGCCGCGTGCACATCTCTGCTGCGTGCACATCTCTGCCGCGTGCACATCTCTGCCGCGTGCACAACTCTGCAGCGTGCTCGGCCCGGCGTTACGCGGTGCTATCTTATTTATGTAACCATTTTTTCACAAGGTGGTCTATAAATGCTAGTTATTGCTATGGTTATTTGTCATAGAAATAACTGTAGGAGTGTAGGTGAACACAAGTTCAAATCTAAACAAGGAGTGATGAGCTAATCGTACCTCAGGTCACCATGAAGCATTTATAAACTAAGCAACTATGACGATTAAGGAAGCGCGTTCATATATGGTTGGTATATTTTCTTCTATTTCGTTTACGTGTATTTTTGACTCGCAATTTTTGACCAACTCTTTTGTTCATTTGTTGACATTTTGGTGATTTGAAAACCTTGCCGCCAGATTTAATCTAATATAAAATTACGGTTTATTAAAGGGCCCATCGCCCAGTTTTGTATTTCCATTATAAATTTAATTACATTGAAGTTAATCCAAGTACAAAAAATTAAATATAAGGTCACTAGCAAGCAAGAATTATTCGTCATAAAGGCACCACATCCTACCAGTACTCAGAATTTGGATGTGAACGGATATTAGGTATATACTTTTCTTGACATGAACATCGATTTGATTGATATTAGTTGAATTCAATAGCACGCAAACGAATAATGAAAATATAGTGTCACTAAAATTACGACTGCCAGAAATTGTTAGCTGCAAAGCAATGAGATTTTGTTTGTTCTATTTCAAACGTAACCTATTCCAACTTAACCTGACCTAACCTAACCCAGCCCAATCTAGCCAAATTTAGTACGAAAAGAAATATCCTTCAGTCCATTCATAATGTAACTTTTCAAAGAACATGAACGGAATTCGAAATTGAAGCATTGCAGTTTCCAATTGACGCTAAAAGTTTGTTATCAGCGATATTCATTTTTGCTTTGTACATTTTAATGATGTGCTACAACTGTTGATTGGTTTGAGCTAAAACAACATTTTGTTGAAACGGTTAATGTCACCGGATGATCAGGCTGTACCTGAATTCTATTCTAGACCAAATATTTTAGTAGAGCTAAATCTAACAGTGTTAACTTTCGTTCATTATTTCCAGAGAAGCCAGCAATGAACGAAAATCGGGAACAGGAGCGCGGGAACAAGAAGCAAGGAATGGATGCTGATTATTCTACGAGTTCTTCACTAAGCATAGATACTTTGAAATCTTTAGCGACTCACGATCAGAAGGATTCATGCAACGATGATTTTTCCAACTCCTGTGAAGTAAACACCGACAAAATTAACGTTTATAATAACAACAACAACAACCCTGGGGTTTTGAACAAGCACCGGGGTGGCGGCAGTTCAACTCCAAGGAAACAACAGAGTAAAGTTACCAGCTGGGACAAGAAACTGACAAGCGTTTCGATGAGAAAAGAAAAATGCAACCTAGCTTCTCAGAGAATGTTCACAGGAAACCAGATGTCTTTAGGAACTGAGATATCTATTGAATCTGATCTAAAACTCAAAAATAGAAACTCCGGTATATCCATAGTTTCTGAAGATCAAACCACAATCGAAGACCCGCCACATCCTGCAGACCTTCGCTGTGCTGAACTAGGATCTGTCCAAGAGAATTCAGACACCGTCAACAAACATGACATAACATGCGAAGAAAAATTGTCTATCAATCTTTCCTGCGATTCTATGGACATCGATGCAAGGACGGAAGCTAAAACAGAGGGTCCTGAAGGTCCTCCAGACGAAGCAATGCTCACCGATCAGGACGAGGGCTCTCAAAGGGACAACTTGAGCGCAAGATCTCCTACAGGTGGATTTACCGACACCGAAATATCGAAAAGTCAGATCACAATGGAAGCCCGAGGCTCTGCAAGTCCCAATGTTGAGTTGCAAGGAACAAGCCATTCTCCGCAGCCGTCATCTGCGTCTGAGAAGAAGGAATGCGAGACCAAAGAGGAAGCCCAGCCCCATAAGGTATGTGACTTAATCTATTTCATTCTTAACATGCTTAAATATTGTAACTTAATGGAAAAGAGTCAGTCTTTATGAAATGAAATCGGGGAAAGCGGTTGATATGACTATCTTGTCCGGTTTACTGGGGGCTCTTTCCAAACTCAATAGCAGTACGCCCGTCGCATAACCCTTCCTTTTGCACCATGCCCGTAAATAGCAGCAACACACCCGTCACGACGCCCATCCTGTCCCCTTCCTGGTGCCCGTACACAGTAGCAGTACCCCCGTCACAACGTTATCTCTAGCCCCATGCCCGGTGCCCTTACACAGTAGCAGCACCTCTGCCACGACACCCCCTCTTGCCCCATGCCCAATGCCCGTAACTAATAGCACTACCCTAGCCAACATGTTACCTTTTTCCCCACAACCGGTGTTCGTGCAGGTGAAGCAGCGTCGGTCTCGCACCAACTTCACGCTAGAGCAGCTCAACGAACTCGAGCGGCTGTTCGACGAGACGCATTACCCTGACGCCTTCATGCGGGAGGAGCTGTCGCAGCGCTTGGGGCTAAGCGAGGCCAGGGTCCAGGTGCGTAAATCAATTTTTAATTTTGGATGTGGATTTCGTAAGTTATGTAAAACGACCTGCTGGTTAGTGTTGATGTTTATGACTGTTAGTGAATATTTTATGACACATATAGATTTGAGTCCACTGTAACGCTGAGTCAATAGTTCATGTGTCTTGAGGACGAGAGCTTTGTGGGCGGAAGCACTAAGTCTATTAAAGGGCTGGGCACTTTAATAAGCCCTCCAGTAGCTTGCACGGCCGCAGCGATGAAGCACTCATTGTAAATGTACGTCGGCCTTGCGATCGATGGCCTTCAGACGTTTACTTGTACCTCCGTAATGCTAATGTATTCAGCCACCGCGTGTAAAGGTAAGCTAAGCTAGAATGAGTCTTACTTATCATTCTATTAGGTCATCGAAACCTTTTCCTCAGGTTTAATCTATCAAATTATGCTCGCTTTACCTCCTCAAATGCACCGGACATCGCGTTGGTCACGCCAATTAGAATTAGCTCATGTTACGACAAACCGACGTGTGGTACATCTTGTGATCGGGGGAGCTCATGTTATGACATACATGACGTGTGGAACATGGCGTGGAAGGAGCTCATGTTATGGCATACATGACGTGTGTAACATTTCGTGATCGTTGAAATTATTTACCTAGGAATATATCTACATGAAACTCGTATGCCGACATTCCATCAAACTTCATAATGCAGTATATTATTGCAATGCATTATCATCTTATAATGATATAAGATGAAGCATTTCAAATAGTTGATCGTTCTTACGTTGAAGTTGTATTGAAAAATTATTTGTATTTTGAGCGATTAGTTTTAGAATTAAGTAAGGAAACATCCTTCATTTGAACTAAATTCAAGTCAGAAGCATGTCATTATGCAATGCTTTAGAAGTAAAACGGTTGCTTGTATCTGCAAGCTTGAATTCCTACGTTTTATTGCATAATTCTGAATAATAAGTCATCATATCTGGCAGATATTTGAGCGTAATAGCCATAAAAAGAATCTTATCCAGCTCAGTGTAGAGCTTAATGATGTGTATGAAGCTCAGCCAACTGCGCACCTCATAAACCACATGGCTGTCAATTACTCGACATAACGCGCGCAGATATTCCTCATGGAGCTCCATGTGCCACATGGAATATTTCTGTACAGTGTACCGCTACAAGCCCGGCCTGCCGTGTCAACAGCGGTGTACAGAGAAGGCAGCAGACTCTGCTGTACCGCTACAAGCGTGCCTGCCGTGTTAACAGCGGTGTACAGAGAAGGCAGCAGACTCTGCTGTACCGCTACAAGCGTGCCTGCCGTGTTAACAGCGGAGTACAGAGAAGGCAGCAGACTCTGCTGTACCGCTACAAGCGTGGCCTGCCGTGTTAAAACCACCCACGCAGGAACATCACGCAGGAACACCACGCAGGCTCATCTGTAATTGGTTGATATGAACGAGCTGTGGGAGGTGAGGGATCAGAGGAGCGATGCTGGTGCAGTGCTGCTGCTGGGATTTTCCTGAGTTTCATTTATTGGGAACATTATATACTTATTTATTGTGGACACTATATTTTCATTGATCAATATTGCTGGAATATCTTGGGAAATTTCACTTGCAACTTCATACGGTTTAAATGCGAGTTTTTCCACCCTGAAATTTAAATATTTTCTGTAATTGTTGCTATTAATCTAATTTATTAATATTATATAATAAATATAATATGTTTTAAGCTAAAATATAAATGGAAGAACTCATGAATTGATCGTGAATTCGTTGAAGACCGGGCAAAAGATTCTAAAAGATCAATAGACTAAATGCAGATAAAGCATTAAACACTAAAATAGACAGTGCACTCGGAAGCAAAAGATTATGGACACGATAACAACAAAAATAAAGAACAAAAAGAGAAAACAATAGCAGTAACGAAGGATGTGGGAACAAGTGACAGACATGAAAGAGAGCAGGGAGGGGCGGAGGCTGATCAGTATAATCTGGTTAGGTTCATACGCCGCAGCGAGCCCCATAAGTTGCGAGGCAGGGAGAACGTCTCCGTAGACCTTCTGCTCGTGGCCGCACCGCGCACGGCATTACTACATATCTCATTTATCTTAATTATTATAATATATTGTTGAACAAACAAAACTTTCAATGGACTTCTGCAAATTTCTCCATATCTCTTCTATCTAAATTCTTCTAAAATATTCTTATAAAGAAGGGATTTCTATAATGGATTTTATTTTTTATATTTTTTTATTCTTATAAAATGGATTTTATATGGATTTTACGCCGCTAATATTGCCACTCTCCAATTCCCAATCAATTCCCACATTTATAATTTCATGTCTGTGGCGCACCACACGCCACACGGTCGAGGCAACGTTTATCTCTGAGCGACTTTGGAATCGAGGACCTCAACAATAGTCTTATTCTGAGACACGCCAAGATTGTGTCAGTTCATTTCCTCCATTTGTAAAAGTCAGTTCATTCTTCCATTTCTACAACTCAGTTCATTCACTCCGTTCATAAAACTCAGTTTACTTGTTTACGTAACAGGTTGAACAGCCTGCCTCATTGATATAGGATCTCTTGGCTATAGATTTTCTTTTTCGTTCACTTGCTTGCACTTCACCGGAGATAAATAAAAGTGGTTATGAGTTTGTTCTGACATTTGTTGCTGAGTTGATGAGTTAGGAACACTTGAGAACAGGGCGAGTGTTACGATCGCAACTTTGGATACATATTGTTTTGTAAGTTAAGGTCACTGGCAAGGCGGAATTGTTTTTTCTTCAAATTTTGACTTTAATGAGTAATTCCTTGGAAATTTCAGAAATTATTTCCGTATGGGTTATCAACGGATCTAAATGTGTTACAGGCAAACGTTTAACATATTGGCTTGTTGTATGAAATCGAGTCAGTATTTTACCATGTGATGCAAGCAATTATTAATGGATGATTTTCATATCATATCACAACGTTTAATTATTATTCATATCACCAGTGTGGTGATCACTTTTTGAATGAATAATTGCTGGAAAATAGCGGAAATAAGTTTAAGGGGTGGGAAGTTGGACGAGAAAAATAGATAGAACAGTAGAAGGTTTTGTTGCTTGAGAAATTTGAGATAAAGACTTAAGACTAAGATTTAAACAGTGATCTTTGCAAGTGACGTCATAAAGAAAGGCCCTTCTAGAGCAAAGACTGCTAAAAAAGTTTGAATAGGTTGATTTGAATAAATCATGAATAAATTAACATCACGAACATTTGAATTTGAATTAATTTGAATTGTAACACTTAAACTAAGTCCAACTTCCCAACAGATTGAATAAATTAATTTAATAGAGCAAAAAATAAACAAAACGAACCTCAAACGACATTCATACAAACCAAGGGATAGAGAAACAGGTTTAAAGCAAGATGGTAGAAATACTTGAACGTTGAAACAGGTAAGTTGACAATCGGTACGGTTGAATGGCTGATATAAGTGGCAATCGGCAATGATTACTGCAGAAATGTCAATCTTTTGAATCTAGATGAGAATATCGGGATTTGAACACAGATTTTGTCACTGGATACACGTATAATTTGATACAATCGCTAACAGATATTGATGAGGACCGTTAAGATCCGCGGTAGAACCCCTGATTTAGACTAATACTTATTCTTCGGCGGAAGTTAGAGAATCTGATTCTAGAAGCAAGATAATTCGATTAATAATAGATCATATAAACAAACCTTAGCATATATACTAATTAACGGTGAGAAATTAGGAATTTCTCACATAAAGTATGAAGGTGATAATACAACACAATAATTGTGATAATATTGTAATTGATGACTTGTCTACCGACCACAGGTGTGGTTCCAGAATCGCCGCGCCAAGTGTCGCAAGCACGAGAGCCAAATGCACAAAGGTGGGTTATTGACTGTACAAAGGTGGGTTATTGACTGTACAAAGGTGGGTTATTGACTGTACAAAAGGTGGGTTATTGACTGTACAAAAAATGGGTTATTGACTGTACAAAAGGTGGGTTATTGACTGTACAAAAGGGGGGTTATTGACTGTACAAAAGGTGGGTTATTGACTGTACAAATGGTGGGCTATTGACTGTACAAAAGGTGGGTAGTGGCAGCCGGGCAATTATGTGGTGGCTTATGCCAATTATTTTTGTACCTTTCACGTGTTAATAATAACCATCAATATTAATAATACTTATTGAATAAACTGGTGGGATATAATCCAACAGTCTGATTCCAACGATTCCATTGTATAGCTTTCTGTTGGATTAGATGAAGAACATGGACATGTTGGAAGAGTGTATTAAACTAACCCTGTGGGCAACACACTTACACCTCTGGAGGGCAACACACCTACACCTCTGGAGGCAGAACACCTACACCTCTGGAGGGCAACACACCTACACCTCTGGAGGGCAACACACCTACACCTCTGGAGGCAGAACACCTACACCTCTGTCAAACTACATAGGAAATCAGTCTTAAGAACATTACAAACTCGCGCAACAGATGGCTGTGTATTTTATTGACTTTTAACTAAACCGGGGCACATAATAAACGGATAATTTTCTAGGAGTAAAGTTTGCATTTGACGTCTGAAATTGACCGTTGACGCAACGATTTCTTGAATCAGATTGATGAACGCGAAGTATGAGCCAATATTTTCTGTTTCAAGAGAATCAGTATCGAAATTGTAATTAAGAACAACTCAGCATCGAAATTGTAATTAAGAATAAATCAATATCGAAATTGCAATTAATAATCAGTATCGAAACCATAATTAATTATAAATGTAATTGTATTTGTAAGAGATCGTGACCAAGAACAATCGAGTGTAGCCACAATCTCTCGATTGCATTTGCGCGTCCGGAGACAATCTCTGGAGGACAAAAACAGGAGGACAAAAACTGGTGGACAAAAAGCGCCGCTCTTGTGGACAATTTGTCCTAAAAAGCAGCGTAATGAGCACACATGGACTGAGGAGGGAGGGACAAACAAGCGTGCCTAACGAGACCAGGGACAGAACTGGATTACAGCCACGGGACAGACGGGGGATAAACGAGGCATGTAAGAGGGATGAACGTGGCACGGTAAGAGGGATGAACGTGGCATGGTAGGAGGGATGAACGTGGCATGGTAAGAGGGATGAACGTGGCACGGTAAGAGGGATGAACGTGGCATGGTAAGAGGGATGAACGTGGCATGGTAGGAGGGATGAACGTGGCATGGTAAGAGGGATGAACGTGGCATGGTAAGAGGGATAAACGAGGCATGGTAAGAGGGATGAACGTGGCATGGTGAGAGGGATGAACGTGGCACGGTAAGAGGGATGACAAGCTCCAGGTCTAAACGCACGGTATGAGGGATGTCAGGGATGTTATAACTCCCCAGCTCATTTATATTGGACTTTAAAAGCCCAGACGTTGGGTTTAATTTAGGATGGTGGGAGGTGGGTTGTCGAAGAGGGGGTCGGGGTGTTGGGGTTGACGAAGAGGGAGTAGGTGTGTGGGGGTTGAGGAGGAGGAAAATAAATAGAAGAGAGAGAGACGAGGGGAGACAGAGAGAGACATAAAATAAATAGAAGAGAGAGGGAGGCGAGGGGAAAGAGAGAGAGACATAAAGTAAATATAAGAGAGAGAGAGGAGAGGAGAGAGAGAGACGAGGAGAGAAAACAATCGAAGAATGACAGTGGTAGAAGAAGAGAAGGAATGATGGACGTGAAGAGATGAATACTGAATAACGAGTAGCGCAGAAAGGAAAGATGTCCGGTCAAATAATGGGTGAACAAAATGGAAACTTATTCACAATCTAGTAAATGTTCACCCACGCATACTTACTTCCTGATCTGCAATATGAATTACTTATGATGATTAACAGGCAACATTACAATTGTGATATTACAATATATTATTGTGATATTACATTTATGATGTTACTGCTGTAACGTTACTATTGCGAAGTCACACTTGTGATATCACATTTATGATGTAATTACTGTAACGTTACCATTGCGATGTCACAGTTAAGTGATCGATTGGTAGATGTAAGAATAATTAGGAATCTACCCACAATTCCTTGTTCGTTGACTTTTGTTAATAATTTAACATGACATTCTGGGGGAGAATGATCAAGGCGTTAACGGTAGACGAGCCCGTTGTGTTGGAGAATGACTGTGACATTAGCGTTAGGCGTCTCGGGGCGTTCATGCTAAACTTTGTCAGTCCAACTTCTGAAAAAAATATTTTTTGTTTTCTGTTGTATGAAGTCAGGTCGTTTTTGAGCGCCAACTAGCAACACTTGCTGCCTTAATGAAAACTAATAAAAACTACTAAAAACTAATAAAAACTAATCAAGACGCTCGCGAGACGTCATTAAACCTCAAGTTTCTGGAAGGTGACAGCCTGGTCCCAAAAAAAGTTCGACTTTTTGCTCATGTCAGAGAGTAGCGCAAGTTAAGCCGTATATTGACTGGGACTACACGGATTAAAACCTACTCAAGTTTGATTAACTTATTTCAACTTTTTACTACCGACCTCTGTAGCAAAGTTAAGTCACTTTACTGTAAATCATTTTTTTAATCCAAATTGTTACGTTAGGAAAATTCCACCAGATAAATCCTCCTGAATTTTCGACGGAAAATTCGTCAAGTTTTTTACTCGAAAAATTTAACACGATTCACCAGTGAGGCGGCGAACTAAAAGACCAACAGCCTTGTCCATCCTCCAGTCATATGTCTCATCACAAGTAAGGCGGCAAACTAAAGGACCATAAAATATGTTCATCCTCTAGTCGGATGTCTAATCATAGCAATGACGTGAACTACAAGACCAAAAACCCTGCCAATTCACCAGTCTGTAATGATGACAGTTCATTATCCCCCAGTTTATGTGAAATTAGTGTTTCACTTCGGGATCTTGACCAAAACTCTCACACCGTCCACGTTCGCCCAACGCCTTATTACATGGTACAATAAATCTCCAACATTGGAATTAGAAGCTTTTACAATTTCAGGATAAGTTTCAGTGTTCACTGCTCCATAATGTGTCAGATATTTTTTCACTATTTTCATTATTGCTGTGGAAGATATATTCGTTGTCCAATGGAGGAAAAAATAAAATGTTAATTAATTAGACTATTATGCACAAGCGAATACAACTTTATTTCTATGGGATATTAAGCTTGGTGTTTGTTATTCCTCAGGTATGCTGCTCTCCCCCAGCCACGGGGGTGAAGGGGTGACGGTGATGGCGTCTGGGGGGGTCCGGCTGCGGGCAGCCCCTGGGGGGTCAATGGGTCTGCCTGGGATGACGATCCACAGCTTGTCTGGGGGACTGTCGGGGCCCGGGGGCTTAACCCCCATGGGGATGGCATCGTTCGTGTCCCCATTGAGGCTACACTCCCCTCTCTACGATAGACTTAACCCCATCCCTGGTCTGCAGCTAGACCCCGCGCTGCTGTCTGCAGCTCACCAGGTGGGCTAGACCATGCACAGCTTACGAGAGAATAATTATTATTATTTTTATTATTATCATTATTATTATTATTAAAGTGGTATAATTAGAAAAACAATAATCTATTGCACAATAAAAGGGCATTGCCAAATAAATGAATTACATTTGAATTTCATTATACAGGGTTATTCTAGATTATGGATGCTATTTATTAAATTCGTATTTATACAATTATGAATTCAAAATAAATTATTCACCGATGTAAAGGAACAGATTCCATTTTTTAACCTATTCAAACGCAGAATTGAATTGGACGGAAGCTGCTGCGGTAGTTGCATTACTATTTGAATCAGTAGCTCCCCGAGCGTTGGGTAGGACGCATAGGAAATGAAGATCAGGCTCTACACTTCTGGCCACCGAGATCACCTGATCTCACCCCATGTGACTATTTCTTATGGGGTTACGTCAAGGAAGCTGTTTACGTCCCGCCTCTACCAGCAACTCTGTTTACGTCCCGCCTCTACCAGCAACTCTGTTTACGTCCCACCTATACCAGCAACTCTGTTTACGTCCCGCCTCTACCAGCAACTCTGTTTACGTCCCATCTCTACCAGCAACTCTGACGTGCATCACTAGAGGGACATATTCAACATTTATAAATATTTAGAAAAAACTGCGAATATTTCTCTTTTCATTGGTGTATGAATTATTCATTTTATTCATTCATTCATTCTCTTCTTAAATAATTATGCATTTATTGAATTGGGTCCATCATTTTGAATAACTCTGTACATTCGGTATCTTTTCGTAACAAAAGAACCATTGAAAAATGCAAGTAAGCCAATAGTGATAGTCACCGTACTCATGGTTTGCTTCATGGAAGTCTTCATAATAATGGGATATCTTTGCATCAATAATAAAGACTTTTGTATGCATAATATTTCTGTTTTTAAAGTGCTTCTATTTCAAAGTGCTTCGTTCTAAAAGTATTGGAGTCATTGAGTCTTTAAGTATAAAACATTCGTATGATGCATGAGAACAGATGTACCTATAGTAAAGTATTAACCTAAAATTCTTAAAGACGCATTATCACACAAGATGACAAGTTATTGCATAATAATTTGCTTATTTACCAAATTATTCCAGAATTTCATAGCAAAGAAGTAAAGTAAATTCATAATAATTCCTTAAAATACGCACCGGAGACCCTGCAGTTCCATCATTAGTTCAGAAAATTAGAGAATACAAGCAAAATTAATAGAGGAATGTCAAATTTACTCGAAAATATATTAAAATCAAAGTACCGAAAAATGTGACTTAATACATTATAACTTATCGAATAGCAATATCAAAACATTTCGCTCTGAACGAGACATTTCGCTATTATCCCTCTTATTCGTCTGCCTCACTCCGCTAGATCACTCCACGCTTAACCGTGCGACGGTTACTGTACGTGTCGGATACTGATTTTTTTGTTCCGTCTCTGGTGATTCTGGTTTAATTTTGAAACGTCTAGGTACATATTTTTCGACGAAACCACGCCTCAACAGCTCTAACCGCTTTCATTCTCATGGGATTGTTAATCGACAGCTTTCTCTTATGTTAATCAAGTTATAATCTATTTGCGTTATAATTTTGCTTTCATTTAGGGATGGTTATTATATTTTCTGAATTTTTGAACTGACGATGAGATATTTACGATATGGATATTTTGAATTTAACTGTCTATATTTTTTTCAAATTATCTAAATTCTCAGTTCATAACTGGACGCAAACCAAATCAAATGGAACATAACCAATGAATTCATGTTGGGAATGCTTAGCATGGAAGATGTAGCAAGTTCTATCTAGCAGCGCGCTGTATTAATGTTTAAATATTAATTAATTTCCAACGACTTTAACAAAAGCTAAAGAAGCTCGGGCCTAAACAGTTGCAAGTGGGTTTTCGGACCCATGATTCAAGAAACCCTTGCAAGTGGATTTCTTCAAGCCATGATCTATATCATAGGTTAATGCAGAACAAGTATTCAAGACATTTATCTCATACTAAGACATCGCTCTTCTTGAAACTTGTTATCTTCAAAAACGTAACAATGAACGTTCACAATCAGTGTTCACTTCTCTCAAAAGAAATATTCATGCTGCCGAGTACAATATTGACGTCAGACCGTCAATATTTTCGCTAACGTCCCTCTTATACCGCATCAATTATCTAATTCTCTGAACTCAAATCCAGAGGGAAAATATTTTCGCTGAAGGTCTGCAAATCTCACGGGAAGAAGAATCGAGGTGCTTCATCAATCGGAATTGGTTTGATGGGTGTTTTTGCGGCGCAGCCCATCCATCAATTGGCGAGCCAGATTTGTTTGACCAATGTTTTTTGAAGACTTCATCAATTGACGGGAAGTGTTTTTTCCAGCCAATGTATGCACGGGGAAAAAAGTGAGCTGTTGGCACCCGAGCGACCGGACGCAAAATGAATAAGTTAAAAGCTGGCAGTGAAGTCCGTAGATTAAAATGTTGAATATTGTATCAGTTCTACGGATTTTATGTGTGTAAATAAGTGATAAAGTTGGCATTTATTGATGGGGCTTCTAAGCCTGATGTCACAACTTAGCTCGAAGCATCTTGCGCATACCGTCTATCGCATGCTTTACTTTCTGTTGCATTCAATATCGTCTATCGCATTCAATATCGTCTATCGCATTCAACATCGTCTATCGCATTCAATATCGTCTGTCGCATTCAATATCATCAATCACATTCAATATCGTCTATCGCATTCAATATCGTCCATCGCATTCAATATGCGATAGACGATCAGGTAACTTACCAATTCAATGTATATTTTTCGTAAGTTTTGAAGTTCCGTCTGTTATTAAGTTCAATTGGGTAAAAAGTTCCATCAGTTATTCTGCATTCAAACTGATCACTATTACTCTAGTAACAAAAGAGTGAACTATGTACAAAGTACTAAAAGTCTACTATGTACTATATAATACCATACTAACTATATATGAACAGTAAGTCACGTATCCATGTCCAAAATGCATAAATGTAATATGCATGGTTGTGATGCATATAGTTTATATGCTATACAATAGAATTTGAATATTCCCCGTACGTAGTAGCTGCAGCTAAAGCATTACACCGCATAGTGCTTACTATTCGTCAATGGTACCACATAATCTGCTGGACCATCTTAGCTGTTCCCTGCTTTATCCAGTAATCTTGGTCGTAAATCACTATATATACCGAGTTGCAGTCGGTTCTAGCGGGAAACACTTCGGTTCTAGCAAGAAATATTCCGGTTTTAGCGAGGAACATTTCAACACTTCGGTTTTTATCGAAAAACACTTCGGTTTTTATCGAAAAACACTTCGGTTCTAGCAAGGTGCACTTCGGTTCTAGCAAGGAGCACTTCGGTTCTAGCGAGAAACACTGCGGTTCCAGCAAGGAGCACTTCGGTTCCAGCGAGAAACACTTTCGTTCTAGCGAGAAACACTTCGATTTTAGCGAGAAACACTTTGGTTCTTGAGAGAAACACTTCTGTTCCAGCAAGTAACATTTCGGTTTTAGAGAGAAACACTAACTTCAATGCACCACAACACCTACGTCGTCGACGGTCTTTAATAGAAAAAATCTTTTATTATGTGTAAAATTTTACAGTAAATTTCTAGCGATATCAATGTTAATCAAACCCTACAAACCATAGTTCTGATCAGCCAGTAATTTAAAGTTTTTATTAATGACAGTTTAGAATATTATTTACTGCTTGCAACTCGTGTGTTAGTGACAGTAGTTTCTCTTCATGCATTTATTTTGCATCCGTCTAAGTACAGAAATTCCGTACAGACCTTCTGGACTTCTGTTTTATTGTGCAGTCAGGTTCTTGAATAGCAACGCAATCTTATGGATTGGAAGCCATAATCCAGTAGGAGGAAATGATAATCTCTTCGTTCGATTGTTTGATGAACATTTGCCCTTTAATTCAATCATCTCATTGAAGTTATTTTGCGTGTGTTGCAGTACGCGGCCGCGGCAGCTGTCTCCATCAGCGCCTCCATCAGCAACATCAACGGCACCCACATCAGCGGGGACGGCCCTGCCGGGGACATGTCTACTGCTGCCATATCTACATCGAGTCTACTTTCCTCTTCTAATGACTCTAGTAGGGTCGGAAATCTACCCATACCTACAACAATTCCTCTCAGTCTACCTTCTACTTCTACACCGAGCTTGTCAAACCCAATGATGAATCTCAACTCCCAAACTGGTCTTCCTCCACTACCCTGTCTTCCATCAACTCTGCCCTCAGGTCTTGGTGGAGTGCCCGCCTCTTCCCTCCTCTACTACCCTCACCCCACCTACCCTCTTGCCCTTACTGCCCTCACAGCCACTGATAGAATATCTTCTAAGACTTCTTCCATAGCAGACCTGCGACTCAAGGCAAGGAAACATGCTGAGTCATTCGCCATGGCCAGCGCTTCGCTTCAGGACTGAATTGCTGTGCCAGTGATGAAAACAACTCAACGGCCGTGAACTGCTCCAAGAAAAGTAAAATTTATGCATTTTTGCATAAAATTGTTTAAAACACAAACATGTATAATGTTTTTATTTCAAATAAGATTACCCAAGACGAACTGATGTTCGTTATTAACGCTCACGTTGTGTTTTTGTTAGTGTGCAATAATAGTAATATGAACTTTACCTGTTATCGTAAAGACTGGAAATACCGACATAATTAATATCAAACTCTTAATTTAGGTGACGACCCAACACATGAACTATGCTGGGGCAAAGGTCCACGAGTTGCCGGGAAATGTTTTCGCTGTATGTTTCTGCCATGCAGATCTTTAATTGCGGTTCATGGGTTCTTTGTAATCCATTTTAAGAAGAAGTCTTCAGCCCTCGTTATTGTTAAAAAAAAGTATAGAATGAATTGGTGGTATTCTGAAGTTTTACTATTTTTAGCAAATCAATAGTTGGTTTTGTTATGATCAGTTGTGATCACAATGTTATATTGAAGGATGACCTACCCGTTCATCTGTTTTTAGCCGCTGCGTCATTTGGTTCTGGTAAGAGATGGTCAAGAAAATTCCCTTTTTGTTATGATTCGTTGTTGATTCTGCTTTATTTATATATATAGCAATTTCACTGTCGATGATTCTATTAGCAAAGACCTTTTCAATAAAATTTGCTTGAAATTTCTAACTTAGATATATAAATCACTCCTGGGTGAATGGGTCTTAATAGCTCGTTTGGACGAGGTCATGGATTGTGCTCGTTTGTAGTGTCCTGGACATTCTCTGGCTGCGGTCGATCGATCAGTCCTTCTCGACATCAACAGACTTTTAATACACTTATGTGACGCTCGAATAATGTATAACTTGGTCGAACATAGCTAACTAGGGAAGTGTAAGTCTCTTTCGAATTCAACACTATGTTTCAAGACAGCATTCCGTTCAAAGGCAGGACGCAGTTTTTCAGTTGTTCTTAATTAACCTTAAACGATAACGAAAATTTCGCTGACGTAAATGATGCTTGATCTGTTCATGCGAAAATTATTTAGTTTCAATTTTCTCTATTTATATTTACCCCGAATTGTAAACACTCCTCTCACTAGTAGAACGATGTTCACCAAACGAAGGCAGCGACCTGCATGACATCGAGGAACTTTCATACAACAGAACACGTAAACTTTATGTTCTAGAATCTAGATCGATTAACTGATTAACAGACCATGTACCAATACACAAATTAAATGCTCTAAAAAAACGTAATCCGCTCCATCGATACAAATGATGCGCTTTCCGACCACATCAAATATGAGGAAATATGCGGCGTTCTGGCGCGACGGAATCACGAAAAAAAAAAACTGAGGGGCGGTGGCTTGATGATGAACTGGCGAAACGTCGAAGTCGTAGGCAGAAACATTCTGTCGTACATATACGGAGAAATTTATTGCAAGCACTGATGTTTGCCAGTACTTTTATCTACGATTTTCTGCTTTTTTCAGAGGCAAGGCTTTGAGCGAGCGTTTCTTTTCAGTAATCTACGGATCGAGGAAAATAGCGTTGAAGGACCATTCAAATGCTCGGTCTCGCTGTTTCGGAATTTTGTATTAAATATTATCTTGAATAATTAAGAATGTCAAATTTAGCCAAAGGAATAAGTCATTCATGGTAACTATCGTGTTTTAATACAAAAACCCTCTCGATTTATCGCATAATTACCTTTTGCAGTATTGAATAATCTGTTTCGTTCTCAAGCATGTTGGTGGTCACCTGTGCATGGATACTGTGTTTGTGCTCAAGTGCAATAAAAGCGCAGTTTATAAATGATTCAGACACTATCAGTGTAGATTAGCAAACCGTTTGTAACCTCGCACATCGTATCGTCGCATACAGTGATTTTTTTTTAATTTGTACATACGTTTATTATGCTCTATTGTAACTAGTGTAAAGTGTGCATCTCATTCGTTCTATGTGCTACAATTCAGCAATATATAAGTAATGTTCTCTGTATAAATGTATATTATTCATGTTGAATACAATTGAACGTCTTTAAGGCTCAATTTATTATCCCGTCTTATTGAAGTCATTAAAAGTCGCTAATTTTATGCAGGAGATGTTCTAACTGAAGGCACATTCTCTACATTTATTTTTCACAACTCAACTTAGTGGATGTAAGAAATTCCTAAATATATCATTTTATATTTTGAAGCGTCTCTTAGTAAAATTAGTTCACACGGTTTAGGTATATATATTAGAAAGCGTTTCTGGCCAATGTAACATCAAATGTGCCAACATATTAATTAATATGATTGAAAGAATTTCCACGTGTCAAGTCAATTTAATAATATAGGATTACTTTAATGTGCAGCATTTTGATGCTGCTTTGTGTTGTATATTAGCTATTCAGTATTAAATATATTTTAAATTTAAAAATTAAATTTGTTAAATTGTAAAAATGTCATATTCGTTCTCATTGAAGGTCGAAATGAAGTTGTGGTTCCGAACATTCAGTATCAAAATTTTTCTTTGGACAAACTTTACCACATTCAGGACTTATTATTTTATTTAAATACCTTAATAGAACCTGAGGCATTTACTTCAAGGACTGACAAGTTGTATGACGAGGTGAAAGTTTTGTAAGACGAATCGTTGGCAGCAGTGTTCTCACATCAAAATAATTACATCGCATTTTGTGACTGCATCCTATTTCTTATACCTACAGGAATACCGCTTCTTCGCGATGTCAGATAAGTGGATAAGTCTGGATGTAAGTCAAGCTATCAAACCTCTTTAACAGTTAACGTATTAAATCGATTATATCAAAATTAAGACTCCTAGGAATAATATTGCTCAGAAATTTGACAGGAAATAATGTTAACAATAATTATGAATGGGTTGTTATATGCACCAATAAAAAATTCTGGTGTGCCCGGTATTTCATTTTTACGACTCATCTTCTTACAATCAAGTGGATCAGGGAAGGCATAGTGGTTACAGTTCAGAATCACAAGTTTGGAGGAGTAAGTTGCGAGTTTAGAATCCCAGCTAGCTGTGAATTCTGAGATGTCTAGAAACACCGACAAACCGGATTTGGGCTATTCAATACTGACCCCAATATTAAAATTTATGATTGATAAATAGAAAAACTGTCATTTTAGCGTGAAAGTAACCGTGTGCCACAAATTTAACTATTATATAATCCGGAGAACAAATTGACCGGAGAACTTTGATTAGTTAACTAGTTCAAATTGTAATTGTTGACTTTGTTCAATCACGCATTATTATATATAATGCGATTGCGTCACTTTTGAATAAATATAAATTCCTAAGCTGATACAAAGATTTTGAAAATGAGTATCATTAAGATATAAATTCATGGAACAAATGACGCTGTGAGATGAATCTCAAATTCATAAGAGAAATTGGAGGTGTTCACCTGAGTAACTTCCTGTATTGAACTAGAGTGCGAACATAAATATTGCCTTTCGGGCTCCCGTGTGTCGTGTCGTGTGAGTCGTGAGAGACTGAGAGCGAGACAGCAACTTCGAAAGGCGGTTGATGGTAGATTGTGTTCAATGCGTTGTGACTGTGTAATTTCTCGTATTAGTTGCAGAACGTGTCCGAAGTCCATAAAGGTTTATTGTTGCGTAAAAGTGCAATAAGTGGTTTTAAAAATGTCTTTAGGCCAGCTTACAGCTAACTATGCGGACTCAGACGAAGAGCAGTTTAATGATTCATTAGAGGAGAAGAAATCGTCAAGCCGCCGCACCAGTTCTTCAACAAAATCACCAGCTGACACTGGAAAAAGAAAAACCTCAGACGATTTAGAGGAAAGTGATACCAAAAGTAGTCACGTGGCACCAGAACTGCCTAAATCACTGGATACTTCAAGTACTTCTTTCACAGGTTAATAAAGTTAGGCCTAACTTTAATTGGTAGACCGTTAGTCTTGGTAATAAGATAAGGTTAGGGTAAACGCGGTATATTCCGACATCGTAGGTAATTCCGTCACCTCTCCAGCTTTTCCTTTACCTATATTAAGCTTTGATTTAGTTCCATGCGTTTGTTGATGGTTGAAATGGTGAGTGGTGACATCATGCATTTGTGAGTCAAAATCATAGTGGCAAACCAACGATTTTTTAGAATCAGTTCAATTTTAATTTCCTCATTCACACAAGAATTTAACCAATTATTTATAATGATAATTCTGGTATCCAAGATACTTTACTGGTCTACTTATAGGACTCAAAAATGAACTTGAGGAAGAGTCTAAAAAACTATCTGCTTTGCCACTATGGTCAAAATACTGCCAAAACACTAGGTCTTGGTCATCTAGTGGGAAAATATTGAGATCCAAAGAGAGACAATGCATGCCACATGGTGAGATCATCGAAAAATGTGTCAAATTTGACAGTTGACATGGCTCTACCAAATAGTGAATAACTGTTTTTATAGGAAGAATATTATGGTTTGAGACTTTTAAATACGTCTGTGATTACAGTGTGGAATTCTAGAGGGATAATAAATTAACCAGTACACATAGCATATTGGAAAGCAGGACCTAAGTGAAGTGTTTTGAGAGTCATGTGAAGGCAACAGAACTTACGTAACGCATACGTTTTTTTTATAGTTTTTCATTTCTCGATGCGTCCTTAATGTGTCGGAATATACTGCGTTTACCCTATAAGGCTCTTCTCAGGAAAATCAGGCAAAAATTTCCAAAAATTGCAGATAGCTAAGAAATAAATTATTCTATAGGTAAGTGATAGGATAATAGGATTATAGGTAATATATGAAAAATATAGGCAAAATACAATCTGGAAAATCTGGCAGTCTTATAGAGGTTATAGGTAAAAACAGGTGTTTTACTTACAATGGTTAGAAAACAGCAGGCAAAAATCAGCCATTTTTCAAATTATTTATGGAAGAAATTGGGCAAAGGCCAATTAGGCCATGGTCAGGAAGATGTGCCAGGTGTGCTGAAATTTATATTGTCAGTTAATCAACCTGCGCGGTGTGCCTTACTATGCCGGTAAAAAAATGCGCCGTGCGCGGCACTCATGAAAGGCAATGACTCATGAAAGGAATAATGAAAATAATGATGCGCAACAGCACTAGCTATCACACACCCGTCACACCGTACACACAAACGTATATCCACAACCACATTGTGTTCTGGTTGGATATGAGTTGACTAGATTGCTAACACGTCAACCCAGGTAGGAAGATTCTTTCATAGATCACAATTCAAGCGGACATGAATCACAGAATTAAAGAAGGCGACATCGCGTGAGATGTGCCATCGGATCCTCCCAGTGATTGACTGGTTGCGGCAATTAGGGTACAAACCTGTACGTCAACAGTACGAAGTACGAACCTGCTGTATGCCAACATCAGAACTACTTTCCTGACATCCTCCCGGCCGCCGGCCGGCAAAATAGACACAATCAATACCTAATAACAATGTGCACAAATGGACTACTGTAAAATGGTGTAACTTAGACCACTTTGTTTTATAAATGATGCCATTTTTTTACTAGCTAAATTAAACTTGAATTGAAACATGCAAAATACAGGTCTATACTCTAGCTTCACTCATCATAAATTGCTGGCTCCTGCCTCTCATAGTCTTCATGTCATTTCAAAAAAAGTGATGGTCTTTGTTACCCCAGCTCTTGGGGTATCTTAGACCGGGTGGTAAAATCAATTATATTTTTTTGTAAAATAACTCCAAATAACTCCAGGTTTTGGTGCATTGTAGTAGAACTCTTCTAGTTACATATGCAAATGACAAACTTGAGGAAAGTGTCATAGTTTGCAAATGGGGGGCGCCGCCCCATAATGAGGGAAATGTGACTACCTAATGGCAGTGCTGATGGGGTAATATTGACTGGCTTGGAAATTAAGTTAAAATTACCATATATAAGACTCCGTAGAGTCTGAAACATAAAGAAAAAACATAAATAGGCTGTCAAACATAAAATATGTTATATATAGTAATTATATATTAACTTCCAAGCCTTTCTATGTTACCCCATCAGGGCTGACATTAGGTGGTCTAAGTTCCCCCATTTGGGGGCGGTGCCCCCCATTTGCAAACTATGACACTGTCCTAAAATTTGTCATTTGCATATGTAACTAGAAGAGTTCTACTACAATGCATCAAAACCTGGAGTTATTTAACCAAAAAATAAAAAAATTGGAGGGGGTACTCTGACAGGCTTTAAAAAATAGCTTTTTTTAGTGGGTCACATTTTTAACCTATTAGACATGCAAATTTTTTATATCTTTCTATTGTGTTATGTAGCCTCAGTATTAGGCCTTTAATGCCCATTGACAAAATTTTTCTATGTCAAATAGTTTTTGAGTTTTGGGGGTTTTTGCTAAAAAAGCAAAAAGTGATCTAAGTTACCCCGCCGGTCTAAGTTACCTCATTTTACGGTATATAAATTAAGTCAATATGACATAATTATAGAGCGTAATTAGACTATGTGATATAAAACATTCAAGAAGAAATTTCGCTCTGCAAAATTTTCTTCCAGAGTCTGTAACTAATTCTACAGAACAAACAAGGTTATCATTACCAATAATCAATGAATTACTCTTCCTAATTTCCCAAGTACCGTACACAAGTATGATTGCTATGAATTTGTACAATATCTCCTATCTCAACACTGGATAGTATTACTAGAAGTTACATTACTGGACTGAGATCTTTCACGAAGTGAAGTCAGATAGTCCAAATGATTGCAAGTTAAACATTTGGGAAGGATGGTCTTTTCATTCAGGGATGGGTCGCAAATATCTTCAATGTTGATGGGTCTGAAATTTCCCTGATTCAACGACCATTAATCAATAGTGATGGTGTTATTGGTTGCAAATCATTGATATCTTCTGTAAGATAAGTCAATGGTCTGTCCTTTATTTTTGCTTCATTTGAGCAATTATGGTTTCCAAATCTGGGTGCGTTATGCTATGTTATGTATACTTTGAATGGGAAAAAATTGTAACTATAATATGAAAATTGTTACGTAGGTTATCATAGCACAAATTGCAGTAGAGTATCAAGGTTGCAGTTTTGCCACCACCCTTCATTGAATTATCCCGTCTTTTTTCTAAAATTCAACAATCTCTCTTCTAGCAAAGTTTTCGAAATTCATTAGCTACATAAAATATGGTACTCTGCAGCGGTGGTTGAGTTCCGGTTGACATGACGTTCGTTTGCTTGTTTGACACTTAATTTTGTAAAGATTGCTTCAGAAATAAATTAATCATTGTCATTCCCATGATTCACCCTCAATGTAATGTAGCTAACAATAGGTATTGAATGGCTTTATTCATACATACATGTATCTATTAAACTTTTACACAGGGTTGGCAATGATTAAATCAAAATGATTAAATCATGTGATTAAATCACTTGATTTTTTTATTTTATTTATTTATTTGAGTTTTTCATATATTTAATATGTTTAGTGACAGTCTTTAGTTTATATTAAGGTACCTATTGTTATTCATGGTTTAGTATAAATGTACTATGAATGACAAATTGGTATATAAACTTGTTGCCTTTAGTGTGTATTGGGTTCCAATAAATTGAATGTTTTTGGTACAGAGGCATCAAGTGTGCAATACATTGTACGTAGCTAGCAGCTTAGCTAATTCTTATAAGGCTATAAGTAGTCTTTGACTAACTATTTGACTATTTGTTATATATTAATACACAATATACAATTTAAATGTGTTAGCTAGCTTATACAGGGTGGGGCAGAACTGATTGAACAATTTTAAGGCAAAATAAAAGAGTAATGGAGGTACATAAAGAAGAAAGTTTATTTTCCTTGAGATTAGCATAACATACCATTTAGAATACTTATGTTTTGAAAACAATATCAGGAAGATGGTGTCTGTTAGCTGCATCACACTGTTGAAGTCGTTCTCGGAAGTTTCCTACAGCACGTTCACAAATATGGCGAGGTATGGCCACAACCTCTGCCGCAATAATCTGTCCCCTTAGCTGTGGTAGGGTGTGAGGGCAACTTCTGAACACCATTTCTTTTAGATGTCCCAAAAGAAAGAAATCACAAATGCTCAAATCAGGTGATTTCACAGGCCACTGTAAATCACCCCTCAGAGACACCAGACGTCCGGGAAACATGCGTTTCAAAACATTGAGTGACATTCAGGCTGTGTGAGCTGTAGCCCCATCCTGCTGGAACCACATGTCTCCCAATGCTTCATTTTCAACTATGTTTTCCTTCCTGGGCTGCAAGAAATTTTGCAACATTGCAGCATAGTGATCGGAATTCACTGTTACGGTTACTCCCTCCTCTGAGGGAGTGTAATGCAGTGTAATGCAGCTAACAGTGTAATGCAGCTAACAGTGTAATGCAGCTAACAGACACCATCTTCCTGATATTGTTTTCAAAACATAAGTATTCTAAATGGTATGTTATGCTAACCTCTAGGAAAATAAACTTTCTTCTTTATGTACCTCCATTACTCTTTTTTTTACCTCAAGACTGCTCAATCGGTTCTGCCCCACCCTGTATATTGAGAGGTTGAGATTGTATTGACCTTTTAGGCAATTAGAAAGATTTTCCATCCTAATACGAGTATTCTAATTAAAATATTTAATTTCAATCTTTAAATATGAGAATTTAAAACTATAAACAAAACAATTACAATCATAAGACTATATGTAAAATATTTAAATGCAGTGAATGGATATAAAATATTTGAATTGTGCACATGTTAATTTCAAACAGTGTTAGCTTTTCTCATAATTCAAGTCTAGTTTCAAGTCGTTTCAGAATTGTTTGGTTATCATTCAGTTTATGTTTAGTATTGGTTTATTGGTCTGAATTAAGTGGGAACAGTGCAGTCAGTCACTCAGTCACTACTAG